ATTAATTGAAAAATAATATTTGAATCATTAAACTCAATTAACGTATATATAAAATATTTAAAATACTTTTTTTTTCTTTTAGTTTAATGATAAAAATATTATTTTTTTACCGATTTTACTTAACGAAAATAGACAGATAATTTGTTGAAAATATTAAAAATATATCCCAAGATTGATGGGATAGATAAGGAAGTAAATAAGAAAATGATTGGTGGCCACAAATTCTGTGGCTCAAATGGTCCGAAACTGTCAAAACAACGTCGTTTTGCGTCGTTTTGCACCCAAAACGACGTCGTTTTGGATGTTTTGAGCCATTTGAACAACAGAATTTGTGACCCCCTAGCATTGCTAGAAGTAAATATGTATTTTTAGTGGTAAATGTTCGTATTCCAAGAATAGATTAGCACTGTTAGAGTTATTGTAGGATACCTCTTGTACAAATAGGTGATCCACGATTGAATGAAATTAATCTCTTTTGAAAAGCCCTAGCCTTCTACTTTTCTTTCCTTTTTTTTTTTTTTCATTACCACTTCTAATCATGGTGAACGAGCAAACTTTTTCTGATGGCAGTAAGATTGACCTTGCCAATTCTTTTTTTCTCCACCATTCTAATCATCTCGGAATGGGGAAATTATTCAATACTCCCGGAGCACCACGTGTCCATACTCCAAACCAATCAGCAATTAATTAGCCTCATGTTGTCCCCCCATGTCCAACATAAATCGTGGGCCCTTGTGTCTCTCCACCAATCAAAACCTTATGGAGCACCACGTGTCCATACTCCGGGAGTACTGAATAATCACCCCTAGGTTTATCAGAATCATGAGTGGGTCTGTAGGGAAGCAACAAGGAATTAATCTGGAGGTGGATATAAATAGGGCCCATGTTGAGTCAAGTTGGGATGGATCGGCCCAAGGGGCTATAATACCAGATACTTGGGCTGATAATAGCACTCAATCTATTACTGAATCTGTCTATGGAGTGGGGCAACCCAGCTCGGTGGATAAAAGGGTGCCCAGCTCTTCTTCAGTTCCTAAATCTACTTCTAGTGTGGAGCAGCCCAGCTCAGTGAATAATTTGTTGACCACAAACATTATTCGAAGGGAAAATTAGGAAGGAAACAGAAGCAGAAAATAGAAGACATAAAATTTCTAAGAAGGGGAAAAGAGTTGTGGGCAAGAAATTCGTGAAGTCATCTATGTATCTACGGAAATGGGATTGTTTTCAGATCGGCAGTTGCTGCTATCTCTCTTTCCATGGCAAGTAAGTCTAGTAGAGGATGCTTAAGATTATCAGAGGCAGAAGCATCATTTCAAATTGGAAAAGTGTTGGCGGTAGCTTGTGATGGCAAAGAGGAAGAGATAATTAGTAAGTTGAAGGAATTGGAGGCCAATGATGAAAGGAAAGTGGTGAGAAGGGTAGGTGAAGCTAACTGAGCCCTAAGCTCTGGGTATTTGGGTACTAAATAGTCTTGTAATGAAGATACAATCTTGGAATGTTCGAGGTCTTGGCAGACCTAAGAAAAAAAGGAAAATTAAAAGAATTCTGGCAAAAAGGAAAATTATTTGTGTTAATTCAAGAGACAAAGAGAGCAACAATAACTCCCAAAGTGGTAAAATCCATCTGGTATAACGATAGTTTTGAGTATACGGCAGTGGATGCGGAAGGCCGAGTAAGTAGGCTGCTATGCATTTGGAATCTAGGGGTGTTCCAATTAACCACTTACTGTGGTCATCGTGATTTTATCCTTTTGTCAGGTAATCTCTTCTACTCTTTTAATTATGTGATTGTTAATGTCTATGGTCCCTCGGATGTGGCTAGAAGGAATGAATTATGGAATACTTTTGCTCGGTTGAAGAATATATTCGTGGAGCCATGGTGTATGGGGGTGACTTTAACGAAATAAGGACCATTACTAAAATAATTGGGTGTTCTAGAAGTGACAGAGGAATAAGGGATTTCAATACAATGGTTGACCAATTAGATATGATTGACTTACCAATGCTTGGTAAGAAATTCACCTGGTGCAACTCACAAACTAGAGAGAAATTGAGCAGAATTGATAGATTTCTTCTTAATCATGAGTGGTTACAAAATTTCAACTTCAAGTTATGGGGACTCCCTAGGCTGTTATCTAACCAATGTCCTATAATATTGATGGAGGACGATAGAGATTGGGGACCTAGACCTTTTAGGTTTATCAATGCTTGGGCTCTTCATCCTAAGTTTATATTCGTAGTGGAGGAAACTTGGTCAGGACTTCAGGTGGAGGGTGGGGCTGGTTACCATTGTCTTAAGAAGTTTTAAGCCTTGAAACAAAAATTAAAAGTGTGGAATATTGAAATATTTGGGAATATTGAATTTAAGCTCAGAGCTGCTGAAGAAAAAGCCCATACTATTGAACTAACTGCTGAAGAAAGAGTACTTCTGGAGAATGAACAAGCTAGAAGAAAGGAACTTATAGAGGAAATTTGGAGATTGAATAAAATGCTAGAATGGACATAGCTACAAAAGTCAAGAATGAACTGGTGTGACAACCCTCACCTCTGATTACTACTAAACTGTGACTGAATATGATAAGTAACTGATTATGAGGAAATCCTAAACTGATTGTATGAATGTATTGTCTGTAAATGCATTTCTATCTGTTTGACTACTAAATGATATGTTCGTGTTTTAACTTCGAATTGCGAATTGAAGGCCTTATCGGCGGCCGAATCTGAAATTGATTGGTGTTTTATGTTAATTAGAATTTATGTGATATTATGGTAGATTTAATTTAAATTTGATTTGGTGTGATTAAATTAGATTAAATAAAGCTAAATCACATTAGTTCAAGTTATTTACGAAATTGCCATTGAGTGGATTGACTCAAAAACCCACCCTTATTATGCCTTATACATTTTTGATGCATCATCTTCATTTCCTCTAGAGACCAAAAACGTGAGAGAGAGCTAGAGAGTTGGAAGAAATTGAGTTCACCTAGATTGGCTTGGAAAATTAGAAGACTTGAAGAGCATTTGCAAAATTGAGCTTCTATACCTTGAATTCAAGACCTAAGACCTTATTGTGTATCCGACCTTTCCCTCTCTCTTTCCACCCCAACGTTTCCACCATTCCCTGATTTGCAGTCACTATCACCTTACCCGGTGCTGCTCGTGGCTCCTTTAGACCTGATTCCGTCCCCGGCCTCATTTCCTATTTGTGTCAACCCCCATAGCTCCACTGCCCTTCTCCTTCACAGCCCTTGCATTGTTCTGAGCGCACTCATTCGCGTCCCATTCAATTACAAGACTATGCTTGCAATCAAGTATTGTCTCCCTCACCAACGTTGTCCTCGTCGTCTGGTCACTCCACAGGTACACGGTATCCTCTTTGCAATTATTTATCTCCTCACCGTCTCTCACTATCACATAGATCCTTTCTTGCAGCTCTCACTCAGGATATTGAACCTACATTTTATACAGAGGCTTCTTCTCATTCCCACTGGCGTGATGCAATGCAATCTGAATTGGCAGCTTTTGCGGCTAATAAAACTTGGTCTCTTGTTCCTCTTCCCCCAGCCAAACAACTCATTAGATGTCAATGGGTTTACAAAGTCAAGTGCCACTTCGATGGCTCCATTGAGCGTTATAAATCCCGCTTGGTTGCAAAAGGTTATACACAACTGGAGGGTATTGATTATCATGACACCTTTTCTCCCACTACTAAGATGGTTACTGTTCGCTGTTTGCTGGCTCTAGCGGCTGCCCAACATTGGTCCCTTCATCAACTTGATGTTCACAATGCTTTCCTTCATGGTGATCTTCATGAAGAAATTTATATGTCTCCGCCTCCTGGTCTTAGGTGACAAGGGGAGAACATGGTATGTCGCCTTCATAAATCATTGTATGGCCTCAAGCAAGCTTCTCGTCAATGGTTTGCTAAGTTCTTTACAGCTATTCATGCCGCCTGGTTTGTTCAATCCAAAGCAGATTATTCATTATTTACATGTCAGAATGGCAAGTCTTTTACAACATTGTTGATCTATGTTGACGACATCCTTATAGCGGGTAATGATTTAACTGCCATATCTGCTCTTAAAGGAGTTTTTGCATAGTCGTTTCCGCATTAAAGACTTAGGAGATTTGAAGTATTTTCTAGGAATTGAAGTATGTCGTTCAAAAAGAGGCATTTCCATCTCTCAGCGAAAATATACTTTGGATATTATAAAGGATGATAGATTGTTGGGTGCTAAACCAGTAGACTTTTCCATGGAACAAAGGCATGAGAATTACTTAGAGATCCATCTCAATATAGGCAGCTTGTTGGACGCCTAATTTATTTGACTATTACACGGCTCGATATCACTTATTCAGTAAATGTGTTGAGTAGATTCATGCATGAACCACGTAAATCGCATATGGAAACTGCCTTGCGTGTTTTACGTTATCTGAAGTGCAGTCCAGGATAGGGTTTATTTTTTCCTTCTCAGAATGATTTATCATTGCAAGCTTTTTTAGATTCTGATTAGGTTGGTTGCCCGACAACTCGTAGATCAACTGCGGGCTATTTTGTTTTCTTGGGATCGTCTCTTGTTTCCTGGAGGACAAAAAAGAAAAAGACGGTATCTCTCTCTTCAATGGAAGCCGAGTATAGGGCAATGATGGGTACATGTTGTGAATTCTTTTAGTTACATTCATTGTTGAAAGATCTGCGCATATCACATCCGAAACCAGCAGTATTACATTGTGATAACAAGGGGCCTTTCATATAGCAGCCAATCTTGTTTTTCATGAAAGGACCAGACACATTACAATATTCCTAACTTTTCATCTAGAGCCAAACACACTCCTATGTTAAACTCCATTTAGGATATCTAAACCCAACTCCAAACTTGATGGTAGGTGTGACCAAACACCCCATTTCAACACAAAAAAAAAAAATAGAAGTGCAGATTTTTTTTTCTTCATTGTCTTCATTCTTCATTCTCTAACTTCTCTCTACTTTCTCTCTCATTTTCCTTTACTTTCTTGGAGGCCAAACACCACACATTTGCTCCACCCTTACACCACCACCTTAACCCACCATCTCCACCACCTCCGACCACCTTATCTCGCCGGAAAAAGGGTCCGGTCGGCCACTCCTTAAATCCATCCGAAAATAACACAATAGAAGCACCAACTCTAGATTTTTCTTAATCTTTTGAAGAATCAAAGCATGGGATTTATTTTCTTGATGGATTAGAGGCTTGTAATTGGTAAGAATCTTTCTCTAAAAGTTTAGTTTAAGGTTTCACATATTTTGAGTTAGAGATGATGAAATTTTTGTGTTTTAGATCTATTATGATTTAGGGTTTGATTGTTGAATTTTATACTCTCAATTAGTTTCCATGAATGTTTTACATGTTCAAAAAAAAAATGGTCAATTTGATGGTTGATTTGGAGATTAAGATTTTGGGTTAATCTAGGGTTTGAATGTAATGTAAAAATTGGAGATTTTGGTGTTAGGGAATTTATATGTTGAAATTGATTTGATAAATGGTGGATTGGGTATCGCTATGTTCTATGGAGGAATTTTATAAGTGATTGAAGAGATTTTACTTAAGTTGTTGAGTTTATACAAAAATGTTGATTTTTGACTTTTGTAGTAAATTGATGGTCGTATTGTGCATATAAATTGATTGGATATTTAAAAAGTTACTAACTCAAAGATGTTCAAAGGATGGGTGTTATGGAGATTGGATAAGTTATTTGTTTGGGTGACTTAAAGTTGGAGGAGTTCTTTAGCTTGCCATTCCTTAGCATAATTTTATTTAGGATCATTTTTGTAGATGATGTAATTTTTATTGAAAGCTTTTCCTAATTTGAGATCCTATTTACTAATTGTTAGGATTGGAGGAAGGCATCTCTACACCTCTTGGAAATTAATTTGTAGAATTTCAAATCTACACTTTTGCTATTTTTGGAGGTGAGTATACTTACCATGGAAATTACCTTACCTCTATCTTTATTACAAAGTTTGAAAATAATTTTTGAATTAAAGGAAGTGAATGATACATTTCATCATGATATATGTATAAAAAGAAAATCTATAAATTTATTGAGGCCAAGGGTTGAGTTTTAATAAAGATATGATTTCATTTGTATAATGAAGCATTAAATTTTTTATGAGAATTTATTTAAGTTGAGTCTTTCAAATTTTATGATGATGATGATTGAATGACAGTGAAATGTTATGTGAGGGTATTTATTTTATTGATCATATAACCGAATATAGCCTTTGGGGCCACAAGGGCCAAAATGCTTTGGGGTCCTGGGGACCGAAATGTTTTAAGGACCATAAGGGTCGTTGTATGTATAAGGGGTCCCAGGGACCGAAACATTGAAACAAGAATTGAAGTGCTACGATGACATGAGCTATGCTCCTATGGTTATGTTCTGGGTAACGGTACCGTCACCACCTAAGTCGCGAGGTAACGCGACCCTAAGGCTATGTAGTGGATTGTATGATGGACAGGAAATCTTAATGTATTGAAAAGTTATATTTTTGTTTACTTTCATTATCCAAATGTATGATTTTTTTCTGCCTTATGAGATTCCTTGGAAAAAAATCTTGATAACGTTTTATGAAAATTGTATTGCATCATTTTATTTTTATTTTGTATAAATTGAAGTCCAATTAAGCTCTTATGTTTAGTATCTTTATTTTGAACCCTATTGGTAGGAGCAAGTTTTATAACTCCATGGTATTGGTATACTCATTGGGCTTTAGCTCATTCTTTTAAATAATTTTTTTTCAGATTCATAGACTTTTGTGTGGCTCGCCTCAACTTGGAAGACTAGAATTTTTTTGAAGGATCACAGGTGGGCATCTTGTGGTTGAGGTTTTGCTTAGGGTCATTCTAGGATGTAAGCTTACCCTTTTTTTTTATGAAGGAGGTTGATTATAAATATTGCTTATGAAGTTGGATGTATTGATGGATTCGTGATTAGTATGTATTATATTTTTTTAGGAGGAAATGCTTAGGAACTATCTTGTAGCATGATAATACTTTTTTGTCTTTGAATAGATCATCTCATATATATTAGGCAATTGTAAGGTCTTATGCACTTTTGGTGATGTGGTGATGTGATGTAAGAATTATACAGGAATTGTGGTGTAAAGGTGCTATAGCGTTTGAGGTGCACCCTCTTGGCAGGGTTTTGCCTTGCCAAGATTGGGTCGTTACACACATAGAAATAGATTGTCACTTTATTCGCGACAAAATACAAGATGGTTCGGTTGTCACCAAATATGTTGCTTCAGCAAATCTGCTTGCGGACGTGTTCACCAAGCCTTTGGGAAATGATGCTTTATCAACCATGATACGTAAGTTTGGAGTTCTTGACATCCACTCTCCAACTTGAGGGGGAGTGTTGAAAAGATTAAAGATTTATCCCAAGATTGATGAGATAGATAAAGAAGTAAATATGTATTGTTAGCAGTAAATATCTATATTCCTAGAATAGATTAGCACTGTTAGAGCTATTATAGGATACCTCTTGTACAAATAGGTGATCCACAATTGAATGAAATTAATCTTTTTTTAAACCAATACCTTTTCCTAGTTTTACATAGTTTGGATTGATAAAATTCATAATTCAAAATTTATTTTATTATAAGGTTCAAATCTTAAGATTCTTTTATGGGATAATTAATGAAACATCCCTCTCCAACTCTTAGTAGTAGGAGAGATCCGATATATTTTTTTTCTTATTAGTTAAGATTTCTCAATAATATTATAAAAAAAAAATTCAACTCGTCACAAAAAAAAAAAAAAATTAAGTTGTGAGTTTCACAACCAAACACTGCCAACACCTCTAAGAATCATACAATCATATATTTTTACATTTAGAAGTGAACTTCGCATCTTCCTATGATTAGTAGAAATTCATAGAATTAATGTTGAGGCAATGTCCATTCATTATGGGTGACGATAATTAATTGTAAAGTCATTTTCATAATTGTCGCTCTAGGTCATAACTTTTTAAAATAATAATCTTACACTTCATTCTTTTGAGCTGAAAGAGAAAACAACAATTTCAAATATTATATTAGGGAGTGTTTGATAACATAATTTAGCATTTAAAACTAAATTGATTGAGTGATAATCAATTAAGTCTGTTTGATAATCATAATTGATATCACTTAAAAATTTAAGTGCTTCTTAAAATGTAGGCTAGAATTTAAAAAAAAAATTAAGTCATATAAAACTTGCTTAATTATGACTGAATTTATAAATATTAAATATAAGTATTCATATATACTTATAAACTCACCACCACCGCTACCACCACTACCACCACCATCATACTACCGCCACCATTACCACCATCACCACTACTACCACTATGCCACCGCCACCACTGCCGCCATTACTACAACCACCACCACTGCCACTAATACTACAACCATTACCACCACTATCATGCCACCGCCACTACTACCACCATCATGCTGCCGCCACCATCACCATCATGCCATTGCCACTAGTGCACCACCACCACCACCATCACTACCGTCGTCGCCGCCACCACCACCATCTTGCCACCACCACCATCATGCCACCACCACCACTACTACAACCACCACCACCATCATGCCACCGCCACCGCTACTGTTGGACCAATCTTCTGTGTAAATAAAATAACTAGAAATAAATTCAAACAAAATAAATAAATAACATACCGGATTTATTTTGTTGAACCAAATAAAATTACAAGACCAAGTCGAGTGTGTGACACTCTGTCCTTAAGACAGATTCGCCCCGCTATGGTACTTACGGTTGAGTGGCGTCTATCTCCCAGGATACAATGATCTTCACAAATTTATAGAAGTACTTCAAATAAATTTGTTCGGCGAACCAAACCTGTGATCTATACTCTCTGAATATTTTTCTAAAACTAGATATGAAGAATAAATGTACCAGAGAAAAATAGGACAACAATAAGACAAAATAACAAACTATTTTTTCGGACTGTAAAATCAGATATCCAGACTGATTTTCTTCGGATGCCTGGACTGCTGAAAAAAGGTTTGTATATATAGGCAAACAAAGTCCCTAAACGGTGCAACCAATTTAAATGAACGGATGCAAATAACTAAAGAACAAGTGCACAAGAGGTTCAAATAAATCTGACGGTTTGTATCAAAATTTCAAAAAAGTGTCCGTTTGGTCAAACGCGTGCACGAACAGCTTTGGAACTTAATTTAATAACAATTAGAAATATATATATATATATATATATATATATATAAAACTAATGGAAAACAATTATTAAACTATTTTGAATAGTTTAATCATTTTTTAAAAAAAACTCAATTTGAATTTAGAATTAAATTAAATTCCCAAAATTACAAATTTTA